AATCTAGACGTTCCGACAATGAAAATATGGATGAATTGGTTCTTTAAGTCGGGCTAATTGAAAATGGTATCCGGTGCAAGCTTATAATACCATTTTTTTAGCTCCTCTAGAGAGAATAATATGAAAGCTTTGGCATTTGTATGCCAACTAGCTCCTAAGAAATTCATACATGTGTTATACTCTTGAACATGATCGACAGGATTGTCTTTCCCACAAATTTATGCATTTTTTACATTGAAAATTTGTAGGTACTTTCCAACATTTTGATTGCCTTCGGGAATGGGGTATACTCGTTCGTTGCTATCCATTTCCTCTAATCGGAGCTTCCTGTTTCTCATTCTTTCTATGGTAGCAAATGGAGAAGTCTGGTCCTTATATTTGACAGACATTTTTTCTTCCTCTCACCCTACTTTCCTTTTATATCCTCGTGGGGCTTCATCTTGAGTGGCTTTAGTGCCTTCTACCAGTGTCAAGTTGGCTAGTTGGCTCGTGGCCCGGCCCAGAGAAAGCCTAATCTGGCCTGTCTCATGGCTCGGTTCCCTCGGCCGAGCCCAAGAAAAAAATTGAAAGCCAATTACAGGCATACGCTGCTTGCACAACAGTGGCTATTATTTATGGCCTATTAAGCAAGTGTGCATAAAATCTTCACAATATGCGGGGATTAAATTAATTTAATAAATATATGAAAGCAAAATAAAAGGGAAAAGATTTCATTAGGCAAGTGGGTTTTTGTAGAGAGTAGACCCCTTAATGTTATTGGTAGGTAGCTTTTTCGTTTAGGGTCTGTTTGATAGCACCCAATTTTCTAGGGAAGTTGGAATTCGTTTTCCATTTTCCATCTTTTAGATTGTTTGGCAAGTTAAATTTTCCATGAAATTCATTTTCCACCCAATTCTTGGTTTTCAAGGAAAACCAATTTCCACCACATGGGTGAGAATAGGTTTTCCAAGGTACTTTTTTTTATTTTTATTTTGGCAATGAAAACAAATTTTATGAACAATCGTAAAAAAAAATTTCATTTAATAGACAATTTCCATAGAAAACAAAATCAAACGAATACCAAAAAATTCAAAATTTCAATATTTTTCAGGTGGAAAATTATACCAATTAAACACAATTAATTACAATTCCCAATAAAATAAATTCTAAAAAATTCAATTCCATGTAATTCATTTTCTTTTCACCCAAATTCCTTCTTTGCAATCAAGCGGACCCTTATGTTTTTTTTTTATTTTTGCCATTTTGTGGGTGCTGTTCAAAGGTTAACTTTAAAAGTATAGTAGTTGCCTACAATAGCAAGCACTGCCTATTATTAAAAAAACATCGTGAGCCGGCTCAACTTGATAAGACCCCAGTCGAAAGTTTGGGTCAAACCTAGAGCCGAACAAATACTCGGCTCAGGTCAAAAAAAGTCCAAACCATTTTTACTTGAGCTAAGCTCGAGGGAGTTCAAAGCCGAGCTGAGCCAACATTAACATCCCTAGTGCCTTTCAACATGCTTCCCTCCATGTATGGCGAGTTGGCTGCCTCGTGGAAGGATTGTGATGCTTATTGTCTTTTTATTGGGCCCCTGGCTCCACTCTCACCTCCATGCTCTTGAAAAGATAGAATTGCATGTCCTAACGCATTAATAATTGTCTCATCTCATGATGGTATTCTTGTCAACAAAATGTTGCATGTTGGCAGCCTTTTTAGCTATTGTTTGAGTTAACCTCGTCACCATTTTTCACGACCTTCAATTTCTTCTTCCTCGAGTGTTTCTTGCTAAAACAATAGGACTTTCATTCCTGCTCCTCAAATTTTTCAATACTGCATGATCCACTTTCACTCATTTTTCTTTCTTTTCTTTTTCATCATGTGTTTTTGACTTTTGGGGTTTTAGTAAGATTTTCTAATGACAACTCCAAATTGTAGACTTCAAAAAATGGATTTTATTTTTTTAAAGCCAATTGTGTAAGATTGTCCTCTTTGAAGTTTTTTGTAATTCAAGAATAAAATGTAGAGATTTTTCTTAGGATGAAATTGATTCATTTTCTAGTTGTGCAATGGTAGTAAATGCATTTAGTTATTTTTATGATTTTTTCATCATTTTGCTAAAAGTCTTGTTTCCAAAGCTTATTGATTTTTTTGTTATTTTACACTTGTCTATAATCAATCTATTTGCGCACAATGGCATGATACCCTTGTATCAAATTTGATTTATTAGGATTCACACTAAGGTGTGACATGTTCATGTTCGAGGTTATTAAAGGCCTCTAATCAAGCTCCTTACCAAGTGTTAGGAGTCTACATAGTCTTTTGCTTAGACAAGCCAGGAAAATCGAGGTGTTCTTTATATAGACAATCCTCAGCAGTCGAGGCATGAGTATTTACTTATGATCCATGGCCGGTTTCATCTCTTTTTCGTGGGTAAATTTCATGCGTGGTAATTGAACTTTCATAGAAATCTCAATTGAATCGGTAAGTCTTAATTTATCTTAACGGGTTCATAAACTTCAATTAATTTAAAATTTACCACTTCATGATCTATTGTCTCCTAAATTGATGAAATTACTTAATTTAAAGTTATGGCTCAACACTTCTTCCACCTAATCAATGAGTTACAAGCTAACTTATCATTATTCCATGTTATAAAAGTGTTAAAATATTGACATACGTCTTTTAACCTTTTAAACTAAAGATGTTTTCATAACCCTTCTTTTAACTATCATGTAGCTCTTACATGAAAATTCGTTACAGAGTCAAATATGTAATTCATGTCGATTTTGATGATTATACGTGATAGAATGTCACATAATAACAGTTCGCTATGAAAGTGCAAACCACAAGTACACGGATTGTAATCAAGTAATAAAGTTGATTTTTGAGTTCGAGTTTTTGATTTCTCGAGGAATGTATACTTTTAATTACACAACTTTAATCAATTTAATTCTAACAATTAAACAAACAAAAACACAATAAAGATTTTGATTTGAAAACGTGAGAGATGACTAAAAATCTACAAAAATAAAATAAAATTCTTGAGAATTTAGGAGGAAAACGTGGTTGTGATTCATGATTTTACTTAACTATCGCCTAATTAATTTCCCACAAGTCAATTAACAAATTACTCATTTATAATGTTAAATCTGATTTTTCAATTTTAGTTAATTACCTCTCTCGAACGAAATTAACCCTAATTAATTAGTTTGACATAATGTACCCCTATGTCAATTAAAATCAAACACCAGTATTAAATATTTGTGAAAATAACTCAATGAATCACAGTTATGAGGCATATCTCTATCCCGTATACAAACCTAGAGTTTTTACTATTTAGTCTAAAATGCACAATCTTCTCTCGAACGATGTACAAATCACTAAACATAATCATTCATTGACTATATAAATGAAAATGAATGAAATACAATAATAGATACGCATAAAAATAAGCATTTAAACATTAGAAAATAAATATTGAAATTAATCAAGGTTGAATTAAGTTTCAACCTTAAATTCCAACATAAAAACTTAGCTCATGTTAAATATATGATAAAATGAGAATATTTTATACAATTCATTGCAAATAGAAAATATAAGAGAGAAGATATAATCCTTTTTGGATTTGGATTCTTGATGGTTTGATCTTAATTTTTCCCAATTATTTCTCCAAATGTATTCTGCTTGTGTTCTTAGGTTTTTCCTCTCAAAAATTACGAGTAAAATTAAAAGAAGAGAAAAGGAAATGGAGAGAAGGAAACGAAAAGAAAAACCAAAATGAATAAAGGAAGGAGAAGCTCTGACCTAGCAAAATTGCAGTCCAAGTCCCTCAGTTTTGGATTGAGTATAAGAAAGGTCCCCATGTTTTTACTCTGCCAAAATGCTTTTTTTTTTTTGTGGTTTTCTTTCTATGAAAATAAGCATTTAAACATTAAAAAATAAATATTGAAATTAATCAAGGCTGAATTAAGTTTCAACCATAAATTCCAACGTAAAAACTTAGCTCATGTTAAATATATGATAAAATGAGAATATTTTATACAATTCATTGCAAATAGAAAATATAAGAGAGAATATATAATCCTTTTTGGATTTGGATTCTTGATGGTTTGATCTTGATTTTTCCCAATTAATTCTCCAAATGTATTCTCCTTGTGCTCTTAGGTTTTTCCTCTGAAAAATTACCATTAAAATTAAAAGAAAAACCAAAATGAAAAAAGGAAGGAGAAGCTCTGACACTGGCTGCCGGCTTTAATTTAAAAACCTAGCAAAATTGCAGTCCAAGTTCCTCAGTTTTCGATTGAGTATAAGAAAGGTCCCCATGTTTTTACTCTGCCAAAATGATTTTTTTTTTTTTTGTGGTTTTCTTTCTCTTTTTGCACACAAGTCCTCTAGTAATTTGCACTAAATGTTCCCTAAACTTTAATTTTATACACTTTGGTCATCAAATTTTGTCTTTTCTTTTAATTACGCCCTCCAAAAATTGCATCAAATGTCTTTAAACTTTAGGTGCTTTTGCATTGTGGTCCTCAACTTCACAATTTTGCATATTTTTTTCTCTTTTCACTCCCTTTTGTCTTGTTCTATTTCCTTTTGAGATTTTGACCTACAAAAGTCATAATTACGCAATTGTGAATGGAAATTCATTCAATTTAATCAATAAGTAATTTGTTAAAGTATTTAACAAGTGTGCAAACTGCAAAAACACACTTATCAGTAATAAACTATGAAACTAAATTGAAATTCTAATGATTCAAGATAAATTAAGTTTAAATAGTAACCTAAACGAAATTTGGTTGAAAATTTAAATATCCATTTTTCTACTTTCTTTTTTCCCGTCTCTCCCCTTCGTTTACAATTCCATCCATTTCTTCCGCATTTCTCCAATATGAAAGATCTATGCCATTTATTATTGTAATCAAGAAGCCCATTTGATGAGACCTCTAGAGCCAATGGTGAAGTGACAATCTGTCGGTCTACATTAATAACAACCAAACTTTTGAGTCTCTCATTTGTGGACCATGATGGGTGTACATAGCCACATGGGCCATGTACCACGGGGTGCCAAGTGGCGCCTCCCTATAGGTGGGGGCCCAATGTCACATGGGCCTTGTACAACCATTATAACCCTTCATCTGTTGACGCTACCAACCTACAATCTCAAGATTCTTCATTTCACATACAATTTTTGTGGAAAGAACTAAGTTCCGTTTGAGTCACATTAAAATTTTTATTATCATTATTTTATTCATTTTTAATTACACATTCTTTAATAAAATAATATTTTCTATCACATTAATAATTTTGCCTTCTTTTTCAATCACACATTTCCCATCAATTTACTATTTCAAAATAAATTATTCCAAAATAATATGGCTCAAACGCACCTGAAAGAAAAAAATGTGAAAAGGGATGTCTAAACACTTTCGATCTATACAAGCACTAAGAACAAGGTATCCACCTCACCCTCCACTAAATTCTCCCAATAATTTGAAAATTTCTACTTTTTAAGTGTTATGTAACCCTGAAATTGTTATTTTTCAATATATTTTTGACACCTCGATATCACATATTCTTCATAAATGAGAGAATGTCAAGTTGTAATGTTCCAATCAAGGTGTCACAAAATGTGTCAACGTCTTTCAATTGATTAAGAAAAAAGTGAGATACCAACAAGTGAATGTATTGGGACGAGAAATTGGTGACCACAATAATTAAAAGAAGACGCCTGCAAGGAATATAGTCTGGCTTTCCAACTACATCCTTTTGCCCTTTTTTCTTTAAATACTATCATCTCATTTTGCCTAAAAACTTTCTATCTATACCCTTGTTGATTTCACAAAACAGATTCCTGCACCATGAGTGTGAGATTTTCTTACTTCTTAGTTTCACTTCTAGTGTTATTTGGTTGTGCAAAGTCAGATATTTCAAAGGACAAAGAAGAGTGTGCAAAATCATTGGTTGGTCTAACAACATGTCTTCCTTATGTTGGGGGTACTGCAAAAGCCCCCACACCAGATTGCTGCAGTGGCCTCAAAATAGTGGTGAAAACCAACATGAAGTGCCTTTGTGTGGTTATTAAAGATAGAAATGATCCAGCTTTAGGCCTCAATATCAATGTTACACTTGCCTTAAATCTTCCTCAAGTTTGCAATACCCCTGCCAATGTTTCTCAATGCCCTGGTAACTACTATCCTTTCTTTAAGGGTCTAAATAGACTTTTAGCATTCGATCATATCTAGTACTGTAAACGAAACTTGGCTTTAAACTAGACTTTCTTTATCGAAATCGATTTTAAGGGTCAAAATGGACTCTTTCGTTTTGAGTTTTAGCTACTTATTGGTTTGTTCACAATGGACCACACACTTGCAAAGAAGAAAAAATTTAAAACACAAGCCATATCCGTCATATGGAGTTCTACATACCAACAACACATGCTTGGGCGTGCTTATATGTCTTGGAGACATTATTTCTTTTGGTTCAAAGAAATAAATTGTGGGTCTCGCACAATAAACGTGGTTCCTACTTTAATAATCTACTTTTCGAAGAAAATAGCTTTTATTAATTATTAAGATAGCACTCCATGTGCTATTGAAGCATATGTTGGGAATATTGAATAGGAATCAAATTATTACAATAATGTCTAGTCGTGTTCCGGACAAGCACTTAAAGTAGGGCTCTATGCTGGAATCGACTACACTATTATCCTCGTAATTGATTTTTGAATACTATATGTTGCAGCTCTCTTGAACTTGCCTCCAAATTCACCAGATGCTCAAGTGTTCTATCAAATTGGTACCAATAATAATACTGCTAGCTCCCCAGTTTCAGGAGGACCAAAAAATAATGGTATGAACAGCATACAATTTCCACTGATGTATTATCTCAACGATCTATTTATGGGACAGTTGAATCTAATCCTACAAGTGCTCCTGTAGGAACCCCTGGAACAACGAGTGCTCAGCAAAAGAGTGCTGGTTTTTGCATTGAAAACAGATGGCTCGGCCTCGGATTAATCCTATTGTGGGCTTTCACATCAAAATTGTTCCTGTAATGAAACTCAGATGTATGCTACTAATTGTTCAAATTCTATGCCTTGTTTGGTGGATATTTTTATATGAATAGATTTAGTAAAAAAATATATTTTTCGAGAATGTATGGTTAAAAAGTAGATAAATATTTTGGACTTACATATGAAATTATTTTATTTAAAGGTCTTGTTGACATACAAAAACAAGGTCCAATTAAATGGTCCAAAGAATGAAGCCAAGTTAAGAAATTCGAAGAATGAACCAGTTATGTAATGGAGACCTATCATCGCTCAAGCAAGTGAGACGTCCAAGATCTGAGCGAGCCCATCATCTCTCAAGCATGTGTGACACCCAAGATCTGGGCGAATATAGTGTCTTGATTGCTATTCGAAGAAACAGTTATTGAAGCAGTTAATGGGTAATTTTATCACATTCCACGATCCAAGAATTTCGGTTACAAGAAATTAAGCAATGGGAGTAATGGCAGCAGTTGGAAACTGTAGTTTCTTGACAAATCATCCATTATGGAGAAAGTGGGTAGTTACAGGACGATTGGCAGTTTTCAAACGGTTCCACAAGATAAACTGTCAAAGGAGTATAAAAGAAAAAGAAGAGTTTAGAAGATGAAGGAATCAAACGACTCTCAAACAGAAAATTATGTAATTTTATTTCTTTTCTTCTTGTTAACTTTCAATTACTTTACGAATTCAATGTGCTTGTGCCCCTTGGAGGCATGTCGCTTCGCCCATATTGTAATCTTCATAAATAAAACACCCCTCGTTGGGATTTTGTTTCAAGAGGTTGTTGCTCCTTACACAATCGTCTGAATCTTCTTTTAACTGTTAGCGATGCTCGATTTAGACGTGAAACAGATATATGTTTGAAAATGAGGGTAAAAAAAATAAACCTCTATATTTAAGGCAAAGTTTGTTTAAAAAACTAAAAATGATTTGCTATAAACACATTTATACGTTTAAATTAAAAGTTAAGCCATTAGCTAGAGATAGCTCATGGAAGCTAACCGTTGACAAAATATTTAAATAAGTGGTTGTTTGGGATAGTTCAAAATCAATCATTAATTTTAATAACAAAGTTCATGAGATATGCAATATTTTATTAATTTTTCAATCACATATTTCATTGACTTTTATCAAAATATATTAATTTTTTTATTATAAACTTTGTCAAACAACCCTAAATTGAAAGGTCCAAAATTCAATATGAAAATTGTTGTTGTTTGACTCAAATTCTAGTGAGTATTAGAATTTTGATTGAAGTGGTCTTAAAGAGATTAAATTATGGAACAAGGAGAAAAATTTGCCACATTTTCGCTAGCTGACCGCTAGCTATGGCGCTCGAACGGCGGAGTTGTCGCTTGATAGGTGCTCGAGCAACTTATATATCCGAAAAAAGAATTGATTCCATCTTTTGACATGATTTTGATAATCTTTATAACCATAACATATTCTTTTAAATCCTATATATAATCCACGTGATTTTTGGCTCTCATATGACTTTGTATAAGTTAGAAATACAATATTTTGTATTCTTTCTCTATTATTAATAAATTTTCAGTTTTTCTATCAATTATTCTCGTGTTGTGATTGTTACTTCATTTTGTGTCATATAATCTCGTTTCTTCTATTTCTAACAAGTGGTATCAATATACATGATTCTTGTTAGGATTTTAACAAAAACACTAAAGATAAAATATTTTTGTTTCCCTTTAAAACAAAATTCTTTAATTTTTATACTCATTTTTAACCACACATTTACACAATAACATATTTTACATGTAAACCCAAAAAATTTCCCTCATTTTTTAACTACACATTCTCAAAAAAATCAATATTCAAAACATCAAATTTTTTTTTTTTCAAAATAATGACCTTCGAATAGGGGCTAAAGATTTTCGTGACATCACAATCTATCCTCTTAAAAGAATTTTATATCGGAAACATTTGAGATATCGCTCTCTCATTTCGTAGTCACGTTTCCAAATTGCAACAGTACATTCTAAATCATTTCTGGAACATGTTTATCTCTACATATTATCCTAGTTATTATGTCATTTTATATTATTCCAAAAAAAATGAAATTTCTACTATTCATTTTGTTAAAGGGTATAATGGTAGCTCTATTTACTTGATTAGGGTAGTTTAGTCTTTTTACCATTTTGTTATTTATTCCCTTGTAATCTCTCTTTTCTAATTAATGGATTGAACTCGTTCTTTGTTGGAACCCTAGCTTCCATTGCTCTCTTCTTTATCTTGCTATAACAATTCAAACATGGTATCAGAGCCTTGATTTATCTCCTACCTGGGGCAATGGTTAGTTCTGGGCTACGTTCTTAAGGATTGTGACAGCTTCAATTTCATATTTCCATTTCAGTTTGGTATGATTATACGGTCAAAAGGAGGTGCAGTGACTTAGTTATTTCTGTTGGCGGGTGGAGAGTTCTGGTTCCTTCCTTTTCGTTGGGTCTTCTCTTTCAGACTATTTGTTGGTTTGGGGCTGTTTTATAGTGCTTAAAGCAGCTTCGTTTTCTCTTCTGGTAATTTTAATTTGGATTCCAATGTTTTGTTTGTTGGTTGAATCCTTCGTGATGGCAGGTGTAAGTGATGATTTGCTTCAATCGATTACTGACAAGTGCATTTTTACATACTTATTTCATGAGACACGACATATTGTTAAACCGTGTTGTTTGTAGAGTCAAGTTATATTGTTGTTGTTTGAGGACAAACAATAGTTCAAGTTTGGGGGAGTTTGATAAGTACGTTTTACATACTTATTTTACTGTTAAAACATGAACAATTGTTGATTAATATGTTGGAATATAATTTAATTCTATGCAATTCATGTTTTGCAGGACAAGTGATGAATGTAGCGGAAATAAGGAGAAACAAGTGAAAAATGACCAAAATGGAGGAAAACAAAAGTTCAGGGACTAAAGTGCATATACTCTAACTTGTTTCTAACCTTGTGATGAAGATTTGAGAGTGTTAAGGTCAATTGGATGAAGGAAGGAGTCAAATGGATGAAATATAGCCAAAACATTATCACATATCAACTTTCAAGTTGAAAATGTTGCACCAGTTTTTAGCCTCATATTGAGACCCTTTTTGATATGGAACACGATCGAATTTGAAGATGGTATTTCAAGGAAAGTTGTATTCCTTTAAGTTAGCTTTCCAACGCATTTTGAATCAGCTTAATCGGATACCTGTGGAGAAATTTATGACCAAAATTTGGAACGCTGTTCAGAGACAAACCTGCGAGAGCACAGGCAAATTCTCTCGCGCGCGCACGGGCATGAATTTCTTGCGCGCATGAATTTCACTTATCGAGCTTAAAACCAATGAACGGAGCGTGCACAAGGAAATATATGGCTCGCGCGCACAGGAATTTTTCAGAAACGAATCTTTAGTTTCCTTCTACGACTCAAACTCCTTTGGTAACATATCTTGCACGACTGTTCAACCATAAATACATCCCAAAACACCTTAGAACGCCTCATTCTTCATTCTACACCATTCTTTCATTAATTTGGCTCAAGAAACACATGAGAAACTAAAGCTTTTGGTGAAGTTACGAAGGAATTCGGTTGGAATTGGTGATTTCATATCTTTCATTCAGTTATTTTGATCTTTTCATTGTCAAACAATGCTAGAATTTAGGTTTTAATTCTTATAAATTTACATTGAAATTGGTTTAATTCTTATTAGATTTTTCATGGATTCAGTGATGCTTTTTCCATTGTTTAATCGAAATATTTGTTGAATTTCAATTTCGTGAATATATATTGAGTTTGATTTAACTTTTATTAAATTAATAATAGATTCCGTCATTCTTTTTCTATCGATGAATTAAATTAATTGTTGAATTGAAATCTCAACTATTTTATTGGTGTGATTTATTTACTGCTTTATGCTTGAAGTATATGGTCGATTTATGAATCTAATTTCAATAAAATTTGTGTAAACATGTCATAAATCTAGATTCTAGGATTACATTTGTAAAATAAATTAGTTTTCACGATAAATCTTCCGATTAGAGTGTCGGGATGAAAGCCTCTAATTGAGTTATAAAACTGAATAATTGAAATGAACGATCCAATCCAACCGAGGAAATTCGATGTTTCACTATTTTAAATTATTGATTTTTAACTGCATTTTTCTAATATTAATTCAACTACACTCTTGAGAGAATAATCCATCCCTTTTTGATCTTTTAAATATTCTTCCATCTTCATGTGAATACGACACCCCAAAGTTGTGCTACATCTATCGCGTTATTCTTTGGGCGTAGTCAAATTTTGGCGCCGTTACCGGAGAAACGGTACAAAATACGCAAGAATCAACTACAAAAGGGTGACATCGTTCCTTTTATTTTGTTTTTAGTTAGTTTAATTTTTTTATTGTATTTTTCCTATTTTCACTTTATTTTCTTTTAATTTTTCTATGAGCAGGTATCGAGGAGAACGAGGAGGATCTGTGGGCAGACCCGTCACAGAGTTTGAATATCTTTTTAACCCTACTTTTGATTCTATGTCTGTTAAAACTGACGCTTCATCACATAACACAATGTCTGACAATGAGTATGGTGTACCGTATAGAATTTTGCATAATTATCTGCACCCCACACGTACATCTACACCGTCATGTATTATGTTTCCACCCAACATGCCACATGTAGATTTTAAACCTTGAATGATTCAATTTCTTTCTAACTTTCATGAACTTGAGAATGAAAACTCATATATGCATGTCAGGGAATTCAAGAAAGTTGTAACAACCTTCCACAATCAATATGGTACAATGGATGCAATTATGTTTAAATTCTTCCCATTTTCTTTTAAAGAAAGGGCTAAAAGCTGATTGTATTCATTAAGACCACGTTCGATTGGAACTTGGGCTGAAATGACCCAAGTATTTTTTAGCAAATACTTTCACCACCACAAAACTATTACGTTGAAAAAGTAAATCTCTTCTTTTATCCAAAAGGAGAGTAAAACTTTATATCA